CCATCCCCAAACGCGGCGACCACTCTGACCCAAACAACTACTGCCCCATCTCTCACACCAGTCATTTCGAAGGTTATGGAATCAGTTGTTGCTGATCAACTCCTCCTACACCTGGAGCAGAACAATATGCTTAGCGACCGCCAGTACGGTTTCCGATCCCATCGACCTACCGGTGATCTTCTGGCGCTCATTTCGTATACATGGACAGCGGTACTCGACAACCACGGGGAAACCCATGCGGTGTCACTGGAGATATCGAAAGCTTTCGATCGTGTCTGGCACGCCGGTTTGCTGATTAAACTACCCAACTTCTGTTTTCGTTCGGAACTTGTGTCCTGGACAGCAAGATAACCCAAGGACCGCAGCATCTCCGTCAGAGTAGATGGGACCATGTCTCGTTCCGTTCCTCTGAATGCTGGTGTTTCTCAAGGTTCTGTAAATCCCCCTTCCTTTTTTCTGATGTTTTTTGATGACCTTTGTTCAACTTCAAATCCTATTTACGCCTTTGCGGATGACGCTAATCTACACTGTGCTCTGTTCTATTCCTCCTCGCGTGTCCCTAATTCCAGCATTAGTGATGACTGCTCCTCCCTTAATTTCTCCCTAAATTCTGATCGGGGCCTTATCTCTGCTTAAGGCAGCAGCAACTGTGTTCTGTTCAATGCCAGTAAAACTTCCCTCATGTCCATTTCTCTTGAACATACATCTTTCTCCCCTTCCTTGAATTTCAACTCGAACACTCCGTTCCACAAAATCATGCAATCTATTGGGTCTTTCCTTATCACCATTATCACCTGATATTTATCTACTTGTTTCCCGCGCTGCGCTCAAAATCGGCTTCCTCTTCCGCGCCAGACGTTTCTTCACCCCCATTCACCTTTCGCTTTACTAAGCTCAGATTCGCCCTACACTTGAATATGCAGTCGTGTGTGGGGTGGAGCTTCGTCCGCATCTGTTTCTCTTCTTGATCGGGTTTAACATAAGGTCATCCGTCTCATCAACGACCTTAAGATCCAACTTGCAGTCACTAGCTCACCATCGGGTGGTCGGTTTTTTATCCTTGTCCTATCGATGCTACTTTGGATTTTGCTCTGATGAGTATTCCGCGTCTATCCCTCTCCCACTTGTTCTTCCTCGTAGATCCTCAGATGTCGCATTTCTGACTTTCAATCAACTTTTTTAACAAGAACAACACAACTGTAGAACACACCACCTTTCGGCCTTCCCTCCAACGTACAACGTCCTTTGAACTTAAATGATCAAAATGAATGACAAACATGATGAAACTTTCGATGCTGCTTATTGTCACATATCCTGCCTACGCAGGTAACGGATGTCTTGTGAAAAACAAATTTAAAATTAATGGAAAATATATCTTCTTCGTGTGTCGATATGTTATCTGTTTTGAGCGCGTTATCCCCAATGAGTTCGTGCTATGTCCTGCTGTTTTTTTCTCAGAAGACATACACTACTCATAAGTGATAAAATGATGGTAATAAAAAAGTGAACGTATGCGCGTGGCACCCGAGCTATATTTATTGTACGAATAAGGGAAGATAGCAATTTCTCTACATGTTTGATCTCATTGTTACGCCAAGATCAGCTTCGGAAACCAAGATGCGGTAAAACAAACGATCTAGCATCCTTCAAACTTGATTAAATCAGTTAGGTATTTTGAATGAGGTCTACCCATTGCTTTTTTGTACGACGAGTAGTAATTTTAGAACTCTTAAAAATTTGTTGATAGCATCATAGCGGTACATCGCAGACGGCTTCAGTTTACCCCCCCCCCCATCAACAGTGTGCTTTATTTCACCGGTTATCCTTGCTGTCTTTTTGCTGCTCATTTAGTTGAAAATGTGAATGGAAGATTGAAATATGAAAAACATCGCACATCTTTAGTCCTATACATCTCGTCTCTGCATGTGTTTTGTACGTGGGAACAATGACTAACTTTCGTTTTACAGAACACGGTGCGACCTTTCATATGTGGGGGAGCATTCATTTTATGCTATAAATAGCTTGATGTATAGATAAAGTCAACTTTAGTAAATTCTTTGAGACCATAAATTTCTCAGTGGGATACGCGACACCTTTCTACCTCACTGTTGTTAATCTTTCCTTTCCATTTCGCCTATGTCAAACATCTCTGAAGCAGAGCCGATAGTATTGTGGCACAGCGCGCACACTTTCTTCCAAAGTCAACAAAATGTTTCGTCCACACCAAGAATGTTTAATTTCAGCGTCCTCTTGCGTGGTCATCTCTCACTGTGCTATCATTATTTGCCATTGATACCCAGGTCATTCACAATCACGTTTTGGAACACTGCTTTGCTACATTATTCTGAAGGTAAATGTCGCATGTAGGAACAGTTGTTTTTAGTCTGTCAAATGAACTATGCGTGTGTGATACATTCTTGCAAACAGCTGACATCGTTTACCTACTCCAAATCGTATGGCTTTTCTCCTTATTCCCATTCGACATTTCTGGAATTCTGTAATATTTTATTGCTACCAAACTTGAATGCGGATGTTTACATAAGCCACTATCAAACACACCACTTGACTCACTTTACCCTTCGATCCCCCTACTTTATTTTTAGGCGGATTGCTCCTACATGGGGATAACTCAACCTCATGGAGTCATCCTTGTAGATTCCCACTCCACCAGAAAAACTTAGCTTTAAAGATCTTAGTATTTTCACTTACTTCCGTGACTTTTCGTTACGCGCAGGAAGACCGAATGGAACCGAACAACCGGTCAGTTCTTTTTCACCCTGGATGTTTTGGAAAGGCTCTGATCTCCTCGGTTCGTTGGAGGCTGTTGTTAGATGGTGTTACACGGATTATTCTTTTAGATGAACCTTCCAAACGGGGTTCGGTGCTCCTGAAACCTTTCTGTTACGTTATCAGCTTCACCCGGAAAATGCCGAACATCCCTACTATTGGTAATATAAACGAACATTCGTTATCGTTAAATAGTTCGAAAAGCGGTTATTATTGTCAGTTTTGGTGATATACGCAACTCTACACCCGTTGACCAGTGTCATTGTTCATTCATTCCTCTTGGTGTTCATAACTTCTTTATCACTTTGTTACCACCATATTAATTCAGGTCAATGAATTGAGCATCATGGATCTGTTTCGTTTGGCCTCTTTGGTGCGAACCCTCCCCAGTGCACGTTTTCCCACAATCAGTCAGTCCACTCTACCGGAACCAGCGCGTTCGGCCAAAAGTTTGACCACATTAACAGAGGAGGCAGATCTATTGCGATCGGCGCTACGTTTGCGTATTCTTTCACAGCTTCCCGAAATGGAATCTGTCGACGCAGTCGTATTACTGCAGATGTTATGCGATCTGAGTCCAATTCTGACCATGAGTGAGCGGTTCAAAATACTCCGTGTAATTGATGCGTCAATGATCATCAATCCGCAGCAGAGAAACTTGTATACCTTGGTGTTTGTTTTCACTCGCATGAGCTTGTTGAAAACGTTTAAACGTGGCATTCTGAATCGGTGAGCAGTTCTTGAGTTTGTTTGCCTTTCCGATTTCTCATTGTGCGATTTTACTTGGTACTGAATTTGAAATCCACGTTCCTTGAGAATTTTATTTAACTAGATATTGTTTATGTCTCTGTAGCGTCATTTTCGATCCCGAACTTGAGTTGTGGTTTCGCCATAATGAAAGACAGATTTCTTCGTTTTACGTTTGAAACTGTAGTGGAAATTCGTAGATGTTTACCGGGCTCTTTTTGATGAAGCTAGTGATCTCCCATGACTGATGCTATTTTGAGGCACCTTCACCTTCGGAAATCTTTCTTATGAGTGCTTTGGTTTATCCACTCTCTTGGTGCAATACTTGCCGTTCCATTGACAAACGAGAACTATCTTCAACACAAATTTAACTCCAAGTTACAAGAGATAGAAATCAATGGCTTAAGAATCGCACGCAAGTATGAATTGCGTATTTATCAGACCTATCACTCGTAAGTCGAACACATTCACCTGCCAATAAATCGTAGAACTACCAGTCTTAGTTAAAGCGTCTTATGACTCGTTCGTTTGCACTAGTCTCAATGTCTTCCTTCTTGTGATAAAAGCACGCTTTATAAACCACTGATGAGAGCCATGTTTGCGCTTCCGGTTGTATTTCATTACGTTTGATGCTCTTCGGGCTTCCTCTCTGGTCTTTCTTGTCGGATGCGTGCCTTTAGAAGTAGTTCATTTTTGATTTATACAACCTGCGATTTCCAGAGGTGTTTTTGGTTACTGCCTTTTGACTGACCATTTTGTCGACCAGTGAGAAAGGAGGAATTGCTACAAGTAGGGTACTGAGAGCATTATCGGTGCGAATAGCGAAATTGTTGATAAACCAAATTTGCGAAGAAAGTCTGTAGTTGTACGAGCGCTACGCTTTACGACTCTCAGCTAGTTGGTGTTCCTAACCATTGATTAGGTCGGTCACGAAGTCTTCAACCGATGTGATTGCATCCTATGGAGAGAGTTTTTCACATTTTTGCACTGATCTCTATTTTGATCACTCTCGGCCTTCTTCCATCCGCAACTTCTTGATGAGTATTACAGACTGTGGAGATCTAACTGGTGACGTATGTGACACATGCTCGATCATTGCAGTTTATAGACATGTAGCTTCGTCGATGCACGACCGCGATAATCTGAAATTTGATGATGAATTCGTCGTGTAAATGAGGCGTGAGCTGAAAAGCTGGGAAGCACTGGACAGCTGTTTCGACTTCGTTGGATCTCATCAGCAGTGCAAATCCATCGACCCAACTGGGGATCGAACCCGAGACCTCACAATTCGGTGGATGGATTCGCACTGCTGATGAATGCTGATGAGTCAACTCCTCCATTTCTATCATAGCCTGACATTCTTCATGAAGCTGCGACGTGGCTTTGTCAGCCATCTCACAGTCAACCTATCATAGACAGACGAATGCTGCGATACTGTGATTGTTTCCGACTAGGAAACGAAGGCCTTGCGTGATAGGTCTCTGGGAGCTCCCACCCGGGTGCTTCGTTCACATTCCTGCTTTGGATTTCGCTCCACTGCCTTGTGGGTCAGACTTTGAGTCGAAGGCTCCGGTTAGGGTTCCTAAAGAAAAACTCCTTCGTCGGTGTGAGCTGCCGCG